CAACGTCATCCAAGAAGACAAAATAGCAGCAAGTCCTAACAGCAACAATTAACAATAAATATCCAAATAATCCATGTCCTCATATGCTCTTTCGTCCTCCTGCAATTTTATAAAAATTGCAACCCCAAAGGGGTGAGAAAAATTCCAGTAGTGTGATAGCGAAACCAATAATGCAACAGTATTAAACTAGGCACAAAATTATAAAACAGTCGCATCAACATTTCATTTTCCTGATAAATCTTAACATTTCATAGTGCGTATATAATGCCATCATAAAGTACGTCATAGCACCGTCGTGCAAGTACAACATACATAGTGGATATTCCATAATGGCTCCCTCAAAGGTGAATTTCAACTGTGGCCTATGCGGACGGAAGCCAAGTGTCCTGGTACCGAAGGAATGCCTATATGATGCGTGCTCATACGAATGCATATTTATATAGATATTATTATTAGCCAATGCAACATGAAATTTATGCACGTATGCCATGCTATGCTTTCACACGCCAACAGAAAAACAGATGCGGTATGATGTAATTGTGCATGACTAAATCATCAGTATCATAACATATTCTTCAAGCTGCCATATAACAGTTTTACCTCATAACAAAATTACCATCAAGACATAGGCAGAATACTTTCATCATAAATGACAGAAGAATTGTTACGCACTATGATATGTTAACGGAAAATGAAATGTTGATGTGACTGTTTTATAATTTTGTACCTAGTTTAATACTGTTACATTATTGGTTTTGCTATCACACTACTGAGATTTTTCTCACCCCTTTGGGGCTGCAATTTTTATAAAATTGCAGAAGGACGAAAGAGCATATGAAGACATGGTTATTTTGGATTTCTGCTGTTAACTGTCTGCCTGTTGGATGACTGTATTATTGGAATATTTTGGGAACTTTGGATTACTGTTGGAAGCATTTTTAGGCTACTATTTTAATATTTTTATGATCAGTTAGGACTTTGGAAAAATTCTAGAAACGTTTTGCGAAAACTATTTCTTAAGGTTTTGAATGCAGTTTTATAAACCGTTTTGCGAGCACTTTGCAAGTTATATTTAGTGGGGCTACAGACCTCCGAATGAGATATAATTCATATGTACGTAAAGCCCCAGTTGTGTAATTTCAGATTATAAAAAGATTATGTTCAACGATTGGAATTCCGAATTATTATGATTTTTACAAGTCAGGAGGTTTTTGGGAAAATACAATGAACTTTCGAGTACTTTACGAGTTCTGTTTCATGGGGCTATTCACCTCCAATTCGCGTATAATTTATATGTACGCGAAGCCCCAGATGTCTAGTTTCTATATATCAAAGAATAATTTTTTAAGCTGTTGATCTCGATTTTACATTATTTTTGCAAGACAGGTTTTCAGGAAAATCAGAGTTACACCGCGAAAGCTTTTTAAAAATATATTTGCTGTTTATATTTTTTCAAAAATCAGTTTTCTAGGCAAGCTTTTACAATTGGTAATATGAAAAAGTTTTTACTGAACATGAATTTTTACTCGTTAACAATTTGACTCTAATCCGCTTAGCAGATAACTCTTTTGGACGCGTACAGGGGAGAGTGTCACACTAAATGGCTCATTAGCTTGAAACAAAGACAGAAAACGAAGGAATTTTTTCCAAAAAACCCCAAAACCTAACAGAGAAAAAAAGATCGCGCGCGTGAAGCTACGCGCCTAACCCATGTTTATTATTAAAATCTTTTGTAAGAGTTGAACATGATTTTTTTTTCTTTCAATGATTTTTTTTTTTTTTTTTTTGCACTAGGAGATAAAATTATACTCTACTATTTTAAAATGATGAATTTTGGGGTTTGAGAAAAAATTAAAGGTATTTTTATAAAATTCATGATACATCATTTTTTTTAATAGAATGATTTTATAATGTTTATTAAAAAACAAGGGGCGCTGAAAATCGAATTTACGACTACTTGATGATTGCTTGTAAGGCACTTCCCTTCTTTGTTTAATTTCATTTTAAATTCTGTATTTGAATTCATTTGTAACAACTCCTTTTTTTTTTTTGGTTGAAATTTGTAACAACTCCTTTATTTACTTGTGTTTTGAATTTTGCATTTAATCTTTTTTAATTACTTGAATTCATTTGTAAAATGAATTTATTCCATGTATCTTAGCCGTGAGGCATTTGTAAAAGAAAATCAAATCATGCAGTTCTGTTTGAAAAATTTCTTTCCATCCGGCCAGTTATATAGATGTAGATGAGTTAGGTAACTTATCAAAAACTTATGGCATGATGATATTACATATAATAAAATAGAACATTATGCTTAAACATTAATTTAAAAAAAAGCCTATTAAAATAGTAGTTTATAGATTTTCTTTTTCACATATAAATCTACATGATAATTTATATCATATTATTTATATTTAATAAAAAAGGAGGGTTATACTTATCCCAAAAAAACTTATCACCCCTTACCATCGACTTAATTACCGTAAGATTAATTTTAGATCTAATCTGATAATTAATTTTTATAATTCTAATTTTTTTCTCCGTTATTCTTTCTCATCCATTTTCTCTCTGATCTATTTTTTCCTTTTCTCTATGTCAGCGAATTTCTCCGTTTCAATTTTCATCCATTTTTCTGTTTCAATTAAAGCAATAGGAAAAATTAGTGTCTCGCAAGCTGTGCCTTTTAGCGTGGAAATTTGCAACCATTCTCAAATTATTGGGGTATGTGAATTGGGATTTCGTCATTTATCTCCTAAAAAATTATTAAAAATTGGGAAATACAAGTCTTATGTTGCATGAGATTTGCTATCTCATGCCATAGACACAAAGCATGTGGGACCCACGTTTTAAAAAAAAAGTAAAAAAATAAATAAATGCAAGCACACCTTTTAATGTATGAGTAGGAGGGATATGTTATCTCATGTAACATGAGAAAAACATACCCCTTAAAAATTTACCAGCTTACTGTGAAAGTGAATAAAAAAATGATTACGTAATGGATGTGATTTTTTATAAGTAAAAAACAATGATTACCAGATGACGTCATGCAGGAGGATGATGCCCTCCAAGATACAGTGGCGGTAGAAAGCATTAAAAAATGGATGTAGATTCTATTATGTAAAAATTTACGGAGAATTATAATCATATAAAAGTGGATCAATGATAATAAAAGAAAGAGAAAAAAATATTAAAATAAATAATTATAAAATCATAACCGTTGATTTACTTTTGTATAATTGTCATCTTCCCTCGTGAGAGTATCATGTTTTTCTTTTTACACATAAGATCCATTTCCTTAAAAAATAGTGAATGAGAGAGAATGATGGGAAAGAAGAGAGGATTATAACTCTAATTGAAACCGACAGAATGGGTGAGACTGAAAAATTCGTAGACTGCGGTTGTTTGGTAGAGGTATGTTTAGGAAAATACAAGTAAAGTTATAATGGGTACTGTATTTGGCTATGTTTGGTAGGAGTTTTCGTATTAGTTGACTGGGTATCCAGTTTGATCTGGAATTGTTTTTATGACCAAAATGTGTTATACTTCACCTTCTGAAATTATCACTAAAGAGGTGGTATTTGTGAAATACCCAAGGTAAGGATTTGTAATCTAATATTTTGGGATAGTTATGCCCTTCCCTTTTGGCCACTGGTCTTCATAACTAATGATGAAGAACTTCATGGTGTTAACTAATGATGAAGATCTCCGTTCACGTTTGGTATTGTTGCAATGTCTGTATGGAGATTGAGAATGGAACCAATATTATCTTCTCATATAGAAGCTGCAATTTCTGTAACTGATTGTGCTTTTTTCCTTCTTCCTGGAATAATTTGATTTTCTTCTGTTATGTTCAGGGATTTGGGATGGAGTTTAGTGAGCTTGAAGAGTACACCCATGGATTCTTCAGCAAGCTTACTAGGAGGATGAGGTGATCTACAAAAATCACGATCTGTAAATTTTCAAGCTGAATATGGTGTTTTTGTTTTGAACCGTGTCTAAGTAGTTAATGTATAAAGCTGAATCTGTTAATATTTTTGTTTACCGAACAATTTTTTTGGTAACATTATCGAAAAATTAATATTCTAACTTTATTTTCAATAATCATGATTCTTTAGTAAAAAACATTCTTGTCTACCAAACACCCACAGAGAACAGAAAAAAAAGGAGACAAAAGAGAACGATGGAGAAAAAAACACGATTACAAGAATTACTTAGCTGTTATTAGATTTAAGATAAGAAAAATATTATATTTATTATTATTTCAACTTTATCATTCTTATTATCTAATTGATTATCATTTGATTAATTTAAAATCATCAATTGAAAAATAAAAAAAATTAATTATCGTTGATTTTAAATTGATCTAACCAAATAATAAAAGTAGTAAGATTAAAATAATAATAAATATAATCACTCTCTAATTTGTGACAATTATACTTACTATCTAATTAGTTATCACCAAATCAATTTAAAATTACCTATAGCTAATTTTTTCGTTTTTCAATTGTTGATTTCAAATTGATACAATAGAAACGAATCCGATAATAGGGCTAAAGTAATAATAAATAGTAATTTTTTTTTTGTTGAAAATATTTCATCGGTACTCGCTTCGTGACTAATCCGATTTGGGATGGATCCAGGATTAAAGCTTTAAATATATTAGGGAGGTTCGAACACATACTCTCACTTCACCTGTTCAGCTCCATGCACAATAAATATAATTTTTCCATTTTAGTCCTCCCACTCTTATTTTCTGATTAATTACCATTAAATCAATTTGAAATTAATAATTGAAAAATGGAAAAAATTAACTACCTTAATTACTAATCCATTAAAACCCCTGGCTAGCCACCACTTGAAACCCTAACACAGAATTAGACTGTGCGAACATTTTTAGCTTAACATTTACGCTAAAATGGTTCTTACCACTCCCCATCGAAATTAGTCATAAAAAGTGATGAAAAGAAAGGAGAAAGCAGGCATTGGGAGTTCTGAATCATTCCATGATACTTCCAAGCACAAGCAGAAGAAGAGAGTAACAGAGAACAAAGTAAAGATGGTTGGTCAATCTGGAATCCATGATAAGCACATGCAGATGCAGACTCAGGTGAAGAAGGATCGTGATGATGGAAAGAAGAAAGCAGCCACTGGTCAAACCTCAAAACTTCTTCGCTGTGGTGTATGTTTTGATTCCAAACCAGACTCTCATATGTTCAGAAGATGTCAATGCAACCACCCCTTTTGCACTGATTGCATATCCAATTACGTGGCTACTCAAATACAGAAAAATGTTGTGAATGTGAATTGTCCAAATCCAAAATGTTCTGTGGAGTTGAAGCCAAAACATTTGCAACCCATTATGCCTAAACAAGTTATTGATCGATGGGAATCAGCAAGATACGAGCTTTCACTTGCTGCGTGGCAAAAGACTTATTGTCCCTTTAAGGATTGCTCTGTTCTGTTGGTGAATGATGGAGGAAAAGTTGTGACTAGTTCTGAGTGCACTTCATGTCACAGACTATTTTGTGCGCAGTGTAAGGTTCCATGGCATGCAGAAATGAATTGCAACGAATTCCAAAAGTTGAAAAGTAGTGAAATTGAAAAGGATTTGGATAAGAAGTTTTTTGAGTTGGCCAAAGGGAAAATGTGGCAGAAATGTCCCACATGCTCTATCTATGTCGAAAGTTGTGGTGGATGTGAACACATAACCTGCAGGTTAATTGTATTTTTGTATCCCCATTAATAATTTTCACAACTTCTAACTTTCCATATAAGTAATTCATTTTATATCATTGTAATGAAAGTATGGTAATCAATTATAATAACTCCATTTTCTCTTTACAGGTGTGGACGCAACTTCTGCTACATCTGTGGGAAGAATTGGGAGTTTGGACATTTATGCTGTAGTCCTCGCTCCACCTGAGATTTCACAGGTAACTTTGGAACTCTTAGCATATAGCATATCGAATTAAATTTTATTTTTAATAATCAATGTCCACAAATAAAAGATTTTGAATTTTTCAATTATCAATTCTAGGATACAATTTCTTATGTTTCTATACCGAAATCAATCTCAATTCCCAAATAAATTGTTTTGAGATATGAAGGTTTTCCAAATTAGACATTAAAATCCTTTATCAAATGCTTATTTCTCTGACAGGTGAATGCATTTGTTATTTGATTGTCACGTTTGACAATGGGGTGATGAGATTTTAAGTTTTCTATTAGGTATCAGGTTCCAATTTTTCTTCAAATCTTCTGTTATGAAAAAAAGGTGAAGTTTTTAAGATGCTTTGTATATGGCTATAGGCATTGATAATCTATAGCATAAAGTCTTTGAACGTCTTAGATAACTTTCAAGTATTCTGCAAAATATTGGTGACTTTGGCATCTAACAATTCTTACATATATATAATGTTTGAGCATATAAGCAACAAGCATGTGATGTTTGTGTTTTGGCCTTATAACGATGGGTTTGCTAAATGCCTGTTGTTTGGGCATTCAATTTTCAAACTTTAAACTGACTTAAATTTAAGAGCACTATGTTTATAATAGATGGCGGAACAGTTGGAAACTCAAATGGCAAATATGAAGGAAGTTCTAGCTATTACTCATCGCAACTAAAGGAAATCTTGTAGCTGACGTTCTAGCTAAAAGAGCAGCGATGTTGTGTTTAGGAGACTTTTGAAGCACCACTAACTTGGCTATGTAGATATCAGTAACTTTCTCTTCAAGTTTTGTTATAACAATTGTAGTTAACTTTATGGGTTCCCTTTTTGTCATTTGACATGACAAGAGCACTTTCCTACACACACAAATCAAGTGTGGGTCCCATGCTTAAAAAAAAAAAGTCAGACCAAAGTCAGGATACGACGCCGTATCCTTGTTGCAGAATGAACAGTGCCATTCCTGCAACATGATTCTTATATTTCCCTAACTTTATATTTACTAAAAACGAACTTGTTCCGCCCTTATCTGATTATCTTTTTACTTTTAAGCAGCTTTCTTCTTTTAAAGACATATTTTGGTACTAATGATGAATAACAATTACAAATATAATCTAGAACAATAATATCAGTTTTGCCCTCTATTTCAGTTCTGCACATTGTGAGTATATACGAATTATGTAAACATTATTCAAATAGCTCAAAGCAGAAGACATTTATTATAGGCCATTTGCGTTGAGACTTCATTTTTTGAAAATATACCAAAGTTATCCCGAGGGTTTATGGGTTCTTGGTCTCGCTTACCCTATATTTTATCCCTTACAAGTCTTCCCCTGCATCCCAATATTTGTCTCCACCCGCTCAAACTTCTTATAAAAGCTTCTTCAAGTATCTATCTATGGAATTTTCAATTAAGTCTTGGCTTCACTTATCTATGTACTTTGGTCAACAACTAGAAAGCTTCATATTGGGTTGGCCATTAAATTTTGGATACGCTTATCAAGTTCTTAGCTCCACAATATGAGGATGGCCGCACATAAAACTTGGACACCAACCACTATCTCCCAAACCATTGGGATTGACACCAAAGTAAGGTAGTTAGAGAGAGCCCAAAACCACATTTCTATCAATGAATTAAGTCCCAATCATCAAAATTAGTGAATTCGATATCACATCTCAAGTTAGGCTTTTGGGCCATTCCAATATATTGTCCTTGATAAATAAGCTTGCCATACTAACTGATGATAAAATTAAGTTAGCTAGTACAAAGGTCACTGATCCGGATAAAATATAGGTCCAATAGAGATCCAATGACATACGAAAAAGCCCAACCCACCAAGGATCCAGAGCAAGCGCGACAGAAAACTATCGCGCGTAAGCCGCAATGCCCTCATCGCGACAGACAAGCCGCGATAACCATATCGCAGATGAAACCCCCTCAAGTAAGCAAACTTAACGTCCAAGGCAATCCCACCGCGCCTTTATGTCAATAAGCAACGGACAGCTCCAGCTTACCGCGACTCTACAACTAGACACTAACAAAGATAAGCCAACTCAGATCCTAGTACTGACCTGCAACCCAAACTTGGCCAATCAGAAGCCAAGCCGCCTTGCTAAGGCGGCATCATAACTACTATATAAACAAAGGGTTCAACACCCAGGTACGATCATCCTTTACATTTAACAACATACATCACCTGCCTCTGATACTGATTTAAGCATCAGAGTGTCTTCGCAGGTACCCCCAGTCAGACTTAACGCGCTACTGCAAATGGCAGATACGCAGTTTGATCCCATCCAGGCCCAAGACCAAGCACTAAAATCTATATCTCAACCATGTGTGATCAGGCTTGATACAATTTGGCCAACCCACTCCATATCTGGTCTGATCAGTCACGGACTAGGGTTTTTGACATTTTATATACAATTTAATAAGTTGTATACAGAGGATACTTTTGATATTCTATATAATATAAGTATTTTTGGCATCCAATGGTTGGTGATACACATTATAACCGCAATGAGTGTAACTAATAACTTTGAAACCGCAATGGTTAAGTGAGACATGTTATAATGAGAAGGGGTAAAAGTAAAGTTTTTCTTTTTAAATTTTTCTTTTCTTTAAACTGGGATTTTGACTTATTTTTGTGATGCATGTGAAAAAGGGAAAATAATTTTATGATTCGGTATCATTGAATACTTTTGTGTTTCCTTTCACACTTATTTCCCATTTTGCCCCTCATATAATATTAAGGAATCACATGGTCCTGACCATGGAAATAAGTCTCGTGAAAAGGATAAATTTTGATTGATGTGATCTTATTAATTTCAAAATAGCTGAAGTAGGAGATAAAAAAATTGCCAAATGACATAAAGGAGGAAACATTCAGAATCCAAATAGTCCACGCTTGAACCTGCGTGCTGTACGTTTATTTTCTATAATTACTGACGAAAATAGAAATTTAATATAAGTTTAAGTATATTAAAATAGGGTTTATTACTCTTCAGGAGATAATTTATCTTATACATATATTTTTGTGAGATTCATATTTTTTCTTTATTTTTATTTTCCTCACATGGATCTTATATACTATTATGTGTATGTACGTGTGTGTAGAAAATAAAATTTGTCTCTTATAATAACATGAGAAATTTTAACCCATTACAATAAGAGATAAATGTTTATCATATTGTGAGAGATAATTTTATATGCTATGAGAAACGTTGTTCCCTTAAAATAATAGTAAAATACTAATAATTAATTAAGATAATTCAAAAATTTAATATGTGAATTGAAATCGTTATCAATTAATTTTCAAAGTTGCAAGTGTTGAAAGAGTAAATGGGGATGACGTTACTTTGCATGGTAAAAGCTTAGATTATAATTGGAGACATGTACGACTTTTACGGTTTCAAATTCCGTTGACATTGAGCTAGATAGATTAAGCTTCCAAGATTTAGAGACAACATTGGCAAAAATGACTAAACCTATTTTTTTCAAAGCAAACATGCAAGCAGTAACAGAGCAAATCATCGAACAGCTAATCAAGCTAATAAAGCTTACCATAATGTTTTTCCAAGTCCTCCTAGTCCTCATCGAACAGCTGAACAAGCTAATCAAGTACTTGTTCCAACAACAAAGAAAGGTTCAAGTGCCCTTGGGTTACCAAAATATTGTGAAGAAAAATTCTCCCCTTGAAGCAAAGAAGAAACCCGCTAGTGGTCAACGCTCAAAATTCCTTTGCAGTATATGTTTTGATTCCAAGGCAGAGTCTGATATGTTCAGAGGAGGTGAGTGCAACCACCCCTTTTGCACTGATTGTATATCCAAGCACGTTGCTACTCAAATACAGCAAAATATTCTCAATGTTTATTGTCCAAATCCAAATTGTTCTATGGAATTGAAGCCACAACATTTGCAAACCACTTTGCCTAAAGATTTTATTGATCGTTGGGAATCTGCAAGATTGGAGTCTTCAATTGCTGCTTGGCAAAAGACTTATTGTCCCTTTAAGAATTGCTCAGTTTTGTTGGTGAATGATGGAAGAGAAGTTGTGACCGAGTCAGAGTGCCCCTTCTGTCACAGGCTATTTTGTGCGCAGTGCAAGGTTCCATGGCACGCACAAATGAATTGCAAGAAATTCCAAAAGTTGAAAAATAGTCGACGGACAAAAGATTTGGATAGGAAGTTTTATGAGTTGGTCAAAGAGAAAATGTGGCAGAAATGTCCCAAATGCTCTATGCATGTTGAAAGACAAAGTGGATGTGAACACATGACCTGCAGGTTAATTGTATTTTGTATCCCTACCTTCTCTTACTGATCCTTAATCATTTTCAAAAACTCTTTTAACTTTCAATCTATGTAATTCATTATTATATATTTATAATGAAAGTATGGAAAATAATTATAATAGCTCCATTTTCTCTTTACAGGTGTGGATGCCACTTCTGCTACCACTGTGGAGAGAATTGGAAGTCTGGACATCTGTGCGGTAGGCTTCGTTCCAAATAAAATTGGGTATCAATGACTAGAAATAAAAGATATTGAATTTTACAATTATCAATTCTAGGATACCCAGTCTCATGTTTTTATACATGTAGATGTTTGGTCCTAGTGGATCAAGTATGTCCAATTAGAGATTGGTACGCCTATGTAGGATCAAAATATTCTCTCAAGTATCTATGGAGGAGGTATGTTAGAGGGTAGCGGATCACAGTACATTATGAGAAACTATGTAGCCAGAGCGTGGGATGCGTGCACAATAATAGTTAAGAGAGAGAGAGAGTCAAGAAGTGCATACCTGATGGACTTAACCTCTTATTTATAAATGGTTACCTAATAGGTGTGGAATTCTAGATTTATTAGGAATATTGAGGGTCCAATATATGATCTGTTGAAGATATGGCAAGTTTGATATCTTTAGGCATGATTGTTTCCTTATTTCCCTTAGTTGTTATCTATCATGGGCTAATAAGAAGTGGGGGCCTATATATTGGACCCATAACAATTTCCCTCCAGTCCGGCAGCCCAAGTGTTCGGGTGCCAGGCTGTAATGTTTTAGTGCTTTGGTCATGTTCGGATCTTTTTTGTTTGAGGACCCCATCTGGACATGCCAGTGGACCCAATTACTCATCTGAGGCCAAGCTCAGTCGGCGCTTGGCTGGGGCTCTTGGACCGTCCATTGTGCCTTTCGATCGAATTACTTTACGGGTGACTCTATTGGCGTGGTGAGATATAAGGTCCTGGCCAAAATTCAGTCCCATGCGCCGAGTTGCTTGCCGATTGTCTTAACCTTCTTGGCCAAGGTCTGGTTCTAGAATGGCTGGTTTTCTTGTAGACCGCTATGTCCACCCTGATTGAGTTGATCGAGGTGTTGGCCTTCTGGCCTTTCATGCTCTTTTTGTGTTCTTGTAATCCTTTTGGTCACCCATGCTGGTCCACGTTCTTGAGCCAACCTGTTAAGGTCGTCTAGAATTATGGCTTTTGGCCTTTCCCTGTCCATTACTGGCGGTTACGCCTTCACATGTGTCCTAATTGGTGGGAGTGCATTGGGGGACGTGTGCCGCCCTTGCGCTTTGTGTGCAATAATGGAGCTGTGAAATATTTGCGTCCGGGGTTTTGGAGGAGTAGCTGTGTGTCAGAATGCTAATTGATTTTGTAATACTTTTGCCTTTTTCTTTCCTGGGGGCCTTGAGCCCCTTTTTGGGTTATAAAGTACATTAATGAGTTTGTTTCCAGTCTTTATTTTCCATATATGGCTATTTTGTAATTTTGCTTTATTATTTGTGATGCATTTTTTGTTCAAGTTACTTGGGCTTGGCCCATAGCTTTCTAGGGTGATTTAGAGGTTTCGGCTCGCCGCGTTGCCTTTTGCCACTTATCTTGCTCTTTATTTGGGCTCAGCTTGTAACGTAGTGGCTTTGGCATTTTTGAAGGTGATAAGGTCATTATGGCCTTAATTTGTGCTACTTTATGAGGTGCTCTCGGGTTCAGGGCTTGTAGCCCGGACCATAGGATTGGCACGTTTAATCATGGCTCTTTGCTATCTACCCTATCTTTTATACCGAGGTATTAAGTTCGAACTCGGTTCTATTTTTTGATGTCTTAGTCTAACCATAATGTTACTGAATAATCAATCTTTTACTGAAAAGTGATAGTCTTTACATAGCTGCTAGCGGTTTGATATTGTCGGAGTCAGTTTAAGGCCTTTGGCCGGGGTATGAGCCCATTTTATTCCCCAGATCGTCTCTTGGATGACTTAGGGTTTTTAGGTTAGTTGTGGTGGCCTGAGCTTCATGTCTTGCCCTTGTGGGTCAGAGAAGTTTGCTCTCTTATGCCGCCCTGATTTGGTTGTCCATGTATGGTGACCTTTCATCTTTTCCAAGCCTATCGTCTGGCTGTTAGGCTTTTATACATGCCTTATTCTGATTGATACGACTTATGTCTTGTAGATGAGCCTCAATTTATCTTGATGCAGCTCAGGGAGGACACCATGTTGTTGGCCCCCTAGTGTGCTCGTCATCGTTATTTGGGCCTTGCTGGTGAGGTGTATTAGTTGAATTATTATGACTTCTGGGCAAGGTTTGAATTTATTTTGCTCTTATAGTCGACCCATGGGCCAAGTCTTTGATATTAGAGCTTGCCCTCATGGGATGTATCTTTCATTAAGTTGTTTGGGTTTGGCTCATGGCCTTATGCTTCTTTTAGCATTTTGTTATGTTGTCTATTTGGACCCAGCTTGCTTTGTCGTACCGTATAATATTTTCCAGGCGGCAATTTTTCCTTGGCCCTCGTTCGTACCTCTCTAGGGTACTTATTGGGTTTAGACTCATGGCTCGAACCTTGGATTGAGTTGTTTGGTTGGCATATGTTATTGTGGGCCTTCATTGGCAGGACATGGCTTTTTTTTAGGTCTTTCCAATTTCTTGCTCTATATATTGACGCATCTTTTAAGAGTTATTTTGGCTTGGCGTGTGGCCTAGAGCCGGTTCAACATTTTGAGGATATTGTATTTAGCATCTCGACTTAACTTACTATAGTGTTTTTTGTTTTTAGAGATGACTTGTTTGTTTTCCTCAACCATCATTTGTACCCTTACGAGGGTACTTTTGGTGCTAGAATTCGTAATTTAAAACTGCGTTATGTTGCTTGGCTGGTACGTGTTGTCGTGGGCCTTCCGCAAATGGACCCAACTCATTGTCCGATGTCTTGGATTGCGATCTGGCTTACAAAACCAAAATCTATCATTGTCCTTTTAGTTTGTCACTTATATTTAGTGTTTCTTCTAGAATTAATGGGCTTATTGGATGGTTCGTTGCCCCCTATTACAACAATTTGAGAGCTCGGGCTGCAGTGCTGCTTCTTTGTTGGACCTCAGGATGTAAACAGGACCATGGAGGGTCTAGTAGGTTTGAAAACCCCTTTTATGGTAGAAAATATGACCATGTGGTGATTTTCTTTCATTGACCAGAGTATGGCCGGTGTGTCTTTATTGGAATTGGTGCAAGAATTATTGATCGAAGTTCGTTCGATGCATTTATCTAGTCAGGCGCAAGAACTGCTAAGATCGCACTCGAATGTTTCAATTCTTTCGAGTTATTGACTGGAGCTTGTCCAGTGTTTCCCTTTAGTCGGGTGTGCGAGCCTGCTGGAATTATACTCGAATGCTTGGGTCTTTCATGATACTTGGGTCCATGGTTGGTTGCTTAAGCTGGGATAGTGATTGGTCATTCTAACCTAGACCGTGGTAGGTCTTTCTGACCAGAACCGTGGTAGGTTGCTCTGCTTGAGATTGTGGTTGGTCGCTTTGGTCGAAACCGTGGCAGGTCTCTATAGTTGGGACTGCGTTAAGTCACTCTAGCCGAGATCGTGGCAAGTCTTTATGGCCGGGAACGGGTATCCCTTAAACTGCTCTTTGCCTTGATGGCTAGCTTAGTTGCTGGGTTATGGGCGAGCTTCCTTTAATCCATCTTGGTATACCTGAGAGAGTGCACCGAGTTTATTGAGCCCTGTTATGCTCGTCCAGGTTGCTTTGGATCTTGCCAGTGAAGTGTCCAGTCGGACAATGACTTCTAGGACGAGGTCTGAATCTTCTTTGTTCTTATGGGTCAAACAATGTGTTGAATTTCTTAACTTGGGCTCGAGGCGATGGCTGCGCTGATTTGGAGCTCGGGACGATGGTCAAGCTGTTGAACTTGGAGCTCAAGGCTATAGTCAGGCTGCTTAAATTTTTTCACTCCAAAGAATCAACTAGGGCAATGGCCTTTTTTTCCTTAGCAATGCTCGAAGCAAAGGGTAAGCTCCTTTTCTGAGTTGAAGTATTTGTCTTGCTGCTCAAGGTGCTTTAGACCTAGCTCTTTGAGGATGACTTGTTGGTCAAGTATGTCGCGATTATAGTTTCTTGTGCTACCACATTATTGTAGCAAACTCTCTAAACTTGAGGCATATGAGTCGAGTAGCTCGTATTCGAGTTGATACTCAAAGAAGGTTCCAAGTGATCAAGAAGGAATCATGAACTATTTTTTGCAGCAATGGAAGGTCTTACTCTTGATGAGGGAACATATGTAAGCAAATAAAATGTTCAAGGTGTAAGGGAACAAGAGGGTTATGCCTTTCATTAGGTTCTACAAAATCTTCTTAATCTCGGATTAGGTGTAACCTTTTTATCAGGATTACAATCCCTCCAAATCCATCTTCATCTCGAATTGGGGTGCACTCATTTCTTCAGGATCATAATTTCTTCAAATCTGTCTTCATTTTAGATTGGAGCCTGATGAGCTTTTAACTTGCGATGCATTAAGAATCAAATTGAGCATAAAATTGATCAAAATATAACCAAAAGACATGAGAATTGGATTAAAATGTTATTATACTCTAAGGAGTATTTTCATAAAAAATTATTGTATTTTTGTAGAAATTTTGGCCTATTGGAAGAAGATTAAGTTAGAAAGCTCAAGAAGAAGCAACAAAAATAAAAGGAATTCACCAATATGCTGGCGCTAGTGGCACCAACAACCTATATGCCTTATGTTTCACCATGCTGGAAGCGCCAACGTGGCACTTCTAGTGCCAACTCCACTGGTGTCTTTTGTTTCTTCATGCTGGCAGCGCAAGCTTTGCTCTTCTAGCTCCAATATCACTAATGTAAC